GCCACTCACCAGCCTCACATCCCAACACTCTAGCAAGGTTTCCCACCTCTTCTTCCGATTTATTTACCTTACTACACAACTCTTTCCCTAGTTTATTTTGAGATTAGCTGCCCTTTCAAAGTGAGTCACCATCCTCTTCAGATTGATTAATTCCTCTTGTTCTTCACAAAAAAAAAAAAAGAATCGTCCACAAACTGCAAATGTGTAACCACCACTGCATCCCTCCTGATTCTCTAGCCTCTAATCAAGTTATTAGAAGTCAGCCCTAGCAATCAGAACACTTAAAGATGTCAGCTACTAGGGAGAAGAGGAAGGGGGGTAGGGATCTCCTTGTCTAAGACCTCTCTTGGCTGGGAAGAAATCCCTAGCTAGTAGCTAACCCCATTAACCAAAATGGAATAGTGACAGGAAGAAATGCAACCCTTTATTGGACTAATAATTAATTCCTCCAAAAATACAAAATACAAAATTGTATACAAATTGGAGTTAATTCCTAATTTCTTGCCCTCTTGTTAACTTTATTTGGAATTGGTTTTGTTCCCTCTTTTGATGCATTTCGTCTCCTCCTGATGGGTTGGAAGGATTGTTTAGCCCTTCTGTTTTTAGCTGTACTAAAAGGAGGGGCAAGATATTGGGGAGATGTACTGGAGCAGCGCTACTATGGACAGTTTGGGAGGATAGAATTTCAAGAATGTTTGAAGAAAGTTAAAGGAGCAAGGAAGCCTCCTTGGTAGAAATCATAACCTTAAAAGTGGCACAATGGGCAAAAAGTTTGAAACTGTTTTCAGACTTTAAGGTTGGCGATTTTTTAGGGCCTGGGCTGTTCTTGCTGCTAGATCTTCTAGAGTACAGAAACCCACTGAGATGTGGTCACTCCCATTATGCGGCTAGAAGAAACTGAATTTTGATGGGAGTTGTTTGGGTAACCCGGCCCCCTCGGGCATAGGGGGTAATTAGGGATGTGGAAGGAAACATTATACCCTTGTACTCCAGGCCTGCTGAACAGGGTGATGTGGTTGGCAAGAGCAGAACTGTTAGCTACAGTATATGAGGTTGAGAAGGCAAAGGAGTTGGCCATTGATAGTCTGGTCAATGAGGGTGATTTGAGAACTGTTGTGAATTGACTGAATAAAGGGTGGGGGTGACATGGCACCTGAGGAATGATTTCAGGCGATTTAAATGGTTATCAAATTCAAAGGACTTGGCAACCAGAGTTAAGTGGGTGAGAAGAACTGCCAACAGTTTGGCAGATGGTCTAGCTAAGCAAGGGGTACAAAGAACTCAATTGTAATATCTGGGTTGAATAAGCTTTTCTATAGCTGCGTTTTTTTTTTCTTTTTTCACAACCTCTTGTTTTATTCATGCCTTTTTTTATTAATGAAATCAATTCTGTGTTGCTGATGAAAAAAGAAAGTGATCGTCAGATTCTTCATCAGCTAAGTATTAACAACATAAATTGATTAGATATGTGGAGAATGGATCTAATAGGTCTAACATCATGTTCATTGCTTGATTTAGCTCTCCCATTCCCCCTCGTCCTGTAAAGGTTTGTCTGGAAATTACTTCACCTATGTAAATTCCTTCCTTCATATTCATCATCAAGGTCTAAATCCATCTTGAAGCCCTGTATCTGAAGAAACACAAAAGGTCATGCAGGTGTTTAATGAAGAAAAAAGAGAATCACTTAAAATAGTAAGAAGTAATACCAATGACCCACTATTGCACCCAAACCTCTCCAGTGTCTTCTGGAAGTTCCTGTTAAGAAATATGGAATTGGAGCTGGTCTGTTTGATGGAGTCACCTTTATGCCATTGATATGTATGCCTTGAGCCCTATTGTCCAATGATTTTAATCTCATATTTTGGAATGTCCCAAAAGAACTGCAAGTTGTATGAAGTTATATGTTTCTGTTTCCACCTGCAAGTTCTAAAGAATGAAACATAGATTTGTGGCAGTACTCAGTTGTTTTTTATTGTCCTTTGATCAAAAGTATATGTTGATCATCTCTGTAGAGCACCTTTCTTTTAAATACATCAGACAACAGACCCCATCCATATCTTCTGCCTTTTTGGTATTAGTACAAGAAAAAGAGATACAATGTATAGCCCATTTACACAAGATTCGTTACCCTGAGTAAAGGCAACGGGAGCTGGGAACCATGTATTCTGTTTACTGTTTCCTCTTCCGATGCTTGATGGTGATTGAAAGCTGTCATTTCTTTCCTTACATGCCAAATAGAATTCCAAATAATTTCCCTCTTCTTCTAGCACCATAACAAATCAGCAACCAAAGCTGGCATACAGCCATATACCTCAAAGCATTTGAGAAATCTTCCCCATAGTGCAGAAGCTAGCTTACAGCGAAGGAATAAATGACCCAGAGTCTGTTTCGAGAAATCTTCCCCATAGTGCAGAAGCTAGCTTACAGCRAAGGAATAARTGACCCAGAGTCTGTTTTGAGAAATCTTCCCCATAGTGCAGAAGCTAGCTTACAGCAAAGGAATAAGTGACCTGGAGTCTCCTCCACTTGCTGACAGATAGCACACAAGACAGAGTCTAAAATCATCCCTCTCCTCGTCAGATTGCATCTTGTCAAACATTTGTCTAATGCAGTGGCACAAAGCAAGCCGCCTTGGTAGGGATATAGGAAAGCCAAACCTTTGGAGCTGGGAAAGGCAGAAAGAGGCTGCCCCTGTAAGTGTTTGTAAAAGGACTTTATTAAGTATCTACCCAAGTAGATAAATTTCCATATTCTTCTGCCCTCTTGATTAACATTGACTTTGTAACTTTGAATCATGGAAGTAACTCTGTTAAATGGTCTACATTCCAATCATATACATGTCTTCTAAAAGACAGGTTCCAGTCTACTTGGCTGTTTATGTGGATGCAATCAGCCACCAGGGCATTTCTGTCCCTGGCAATCTGATAAGAGTGCCTGGAATAGGTCGATGAGGTGGAGGTGCACCCTCTACTTCCAGAATAAGAATCGTGGAAGAGGTATTTGAGCCTACTTTATCAAGCTCTTCAGTATGGCTGGGTGGGTGCCCAATGATCAATGATTATGAGAAAATTTTGGTACTTTATCAAGCTTGACAAGAGTGCTGTATGTTGATCAGCTCAAGGATTATCGGCTGGGTGTTGCTTCTTCCAGAATTTGAGGGCCTTAGAAAAGAAAATTTTGCAGCGGATTTTTTTTTGTACTTTGAATGTTAATATTGGTAGTTGGATTTGTTTTTGTTATTTTAGTTGCTGGAATACAGTTTGTTTGTTTTTCTTGGATAAGTAGAATACAGTTTGTATAATGGTTGGTGACTCCTTGTCACCTAGTTGATGTACCTTGCTTTCTTTTTCAATAAAATTCCTTTTTTATTTATCTCCAATAAAAGGTCCATAAGAGCTCTATCTGAACACCATGAATTCCAAAACCTCTGCCCCAAAGATCATTCACCACCTTATATTTTATACCCGAGCTGAAACTGTTATAGCTTTTTTCAACCCCTTTCCATAAGGGAACACCCCCATAAGGATCTCTAGAGCTTCATGGATCACACTCCTAGTTTCTTGTGCTATACTTTCTGCAATTATTTTTTTCTCCATACGCTGTTTGGCTGTTCATTAAAATGCTAAAACCATTTACCTAACAAGGCTTTGTTTGCCACTCTTAACTCCCTCAAACCCAATCTGTCCCTTGCACTTTACCAGGTGGATTTTCTCCACATCACAGGAAGTTTCTCATCTTCCTTTCCAGAATGTTATTGAGCTAGAATTGGAAAAAGGGATAGGAAATAGGTAGGGAGAAGGCATAAGTTTTGCCATCGCTGGGCACCTCCAACTTGGCAAGTAGTTGCTTACCCCTCACTTGGGAATAATAGCCATTACAGTCGCCCCATATACAAAATAAGATCAATATTTCTCTTCCAGAATCTTCATCAATTCCTAAGTACTTTGAAAAACCATATCAAATCCATTTGGATGGGTTTTCTTTCTCTATTCATATACTTGCTTCACTGTGGATATTCCCCTTTGCCAAAGGCCTCCATCTTCATGGCCAAACTGTTACCTTGCTTGTTTTTTTCCCTTTTGAGATTCACCAAATTAACAATGCATGTTCAGAGTATTTTCCCAAAGTTTTTTTTTTTTTGATCAATAATATTTTCCCAAAGTTTCATAGAATCCAGGAATCATATTGTTCCTTCATTGAGCCTGGGGCCACATATAAAGGTTCATTAATCCATATATTGATGGAAAATAAACTCAAGAAGGGTTTTTAAAAAGGTGTTTAATAATTGAAGCCTGTCTTTGGTAAGGGATTTTTAAAGTAAAAGCCTTTTCATAGGAAAAGAATAGAAAGGACAAATATCAATCAGAAAAGAAAGGATGGAAGTGTCAAGTTATTGAATTGGCTCCTATTCAAATTGATTGAATTTGCATCAGTTGACAAATTTATAAAATTCTAGCAATAACTGATAGATTTTTCCAGAAAAGTATTTGATAGTTAGATTCAAATTGCTTCCCTTGAGATTCATAGTTTGAGTCGTGAGTTATAATAAAATGTTAGATTGTGATATTATTTTTAAGAACCATTAGTACTCTTTCAGAAATACCTGCTTCAAGTGAACTAGTAATACTATTATAAGGTAATTGTAGTTTGCAGGCTTGATTTATTTTGTGAACTACGATCAATCACTTGAATAGTGTACAAGCTTATTCCTTATAGCTAGGATTTTCTTTCCTGGTAAATAATTCTCTAAAATTTTGATAAAAAATAATAATTCTCTAAAATTTTATTAAGGTGTTCTTTTGAAAGTATGTCACATGTTGAAATGTTTTTGGAGATGTTTTAGAATTTTATCTTGAGGTACTGTTTCTTGTAGTTTATTTAAATCTAGATTATCATTATTCTATTATAGACTTTTGCTCTCGAGTTTCCAATTTATCTGGTTACTTTTCACTGTGCATGTACTTTTGTTCTGGTTCTTAGTTTTTTACTTCATTCTCTAGATTCGGATTCAGCCAGTTCTTCCGGCAGTGAGTCAGAGGGTGCTAAAGCTACATCTCCAATGAATACAACCAAGGTATTTCTAGATGTTGTGTAATAAGCAGCTTTACTACTTCAGGGGGCTATATGGGAATTAAAATCATTCTCATTTTCTACGACTCTTTTTCTGTTTTAGTGCTTACACTTAAACCATTTGACATTCTCAGAAACTGGAAACTTTAGGTTCTGGGATGGAGCTAGAACAAAAGAGAAGCAATCCTATTGATTCACATGATGGAAATCGTAAGTTCTTTGGGTTTTGTTTCTATTCTATGTGCATTGTTTGATATAATTCTTTGTATATTGTTCAAGAATGCTCCAGGTGACACTAATATCCTGTTGCTGATTGTGTAGAATCTGTCAGTGGATTAGATCAACTTGAACAAAATGCCCCAGCTAAACCAGTTTCTGTTGAGACAAATGAGCACCATGAGGGTAAGCATAGAGCTATTTGGTGGTATGCCATTCTGACTGGCACATCATCTCACCCTTTGCAGTGATTTTTTAGGGGACAGTGTTGCATCCGAGAGACACGTCTCCCCTGAAAAGTTGTATCGGGCAGCTTTGCTGAGAAGCCGTTTTGCTGATACTATCCTCAAAGCTCGAGAAAAGGCACTTGATCAGGTTGGTTACAAAATTGGGCTATGTATTCTGAATTTACCCTATTTTTACTTTGTACCTGTCAATTTTCCCGAGTGTATTCTACTCTGGATGTGATCGGGTACAATGTAATCTGCTCTGAGGCCAGGGTGAAAAAGGGGATCCTGAGAAACTGCGACGTGAGAGGGAGGAACTCGAAAAGCAGCAAAGAGAAGGTTTGGACTAGACATTTGGAACTTGTACTTATTTCTTATATATATATAAAATGTTAAGAGCACCTTGTCAATGAATGGTTCGAACGTAAAACCCAATGAAAACTTATGGGTTTTCTACTCTTTAATCAGAGAAAGCTAGGTTGCAAGCTGAAGCAAAGGCTGCTGAAGATGCTCGAAGGCAAGCTGAAGCAGAAGCTGCAGCTGAAGCGAAACGAAAGAGGGAGCTTGAGAGAGAGGCGGCACGTCAGGCACTGCAGAAGGTAATTAAGCGGAATATTTTTATGGGTTTGGCCCTATTGGATCTTTTCTTGCTTAACTCTGACAATTAGTTAGATGCTGGTTTGTCCGTGTACAGATGGAGAAGACGGTTGAGATAAATGAAAATTGCCACTTCCTAGAAGACTTAGAAATGCTTAGGGCAGCACCTGCTGAGCATTTGCCAAGTTCTGTAGATGAAACAAGTCCAGATCACTCTCAAGATGGTATGGGTGGTTTCAAATTCCGGGGTAGTAGTAACCCCTTGGAACAACTTGGATTGTACATGAAAATGGATGATGAGGAGGAGGAAGATGTTGAACCAAGCAGTGTACCGGACCCAGTAAATGATGTAGAGGAAGGAGAAATAGATTGATTGATTGGATCTATTTTAATTCTTGCCTGCATATAAAAAATATATAATTATAAATATTCTTGCACTAACCAAACCAAAGGGCTTGGTCCCAACAGCTTGGTAAGTAACATCGGCGGGGCACTCGAGTTCTCTTTTTTTTTTTAGCAACGAGGCACAAGAATATCTCTTCCGACTCTCTGATCAGATCAGCCAAGTGATGATACGCATGGACTCTTGGGGTGCAGACTGGAGACTGGAGATGCATCATACATCTACTCTATTTGGGTTTGTGGCTTGATTTTGGCTTTTTGACTTGCGCGGAGTGGCCTGTATGTTATTTCTGCACTTTCTGAAGAGTGTTTGTATTTTGGGTTCCAAAAGCCAAAAGGGTAAGTAGCCAATGATGTCCAAGTCCAAGTACGTCGTGTTAAGCTTGTGTTTATTTGCTGTAAATAGGATACATACACTTGCATCCTGGCATGGGGGTAGTAGGTGGCATCGATGTTCAAGAGTGAGAAAGAGGGAAGCTTGTTGCATCTCACGGGGGTTGTGTTCATGCCGTAATGGACCGAATGGGCTAATGGTCTTGACTCCTAAACTGTACAAAAGATAAAATCTGAAGATACATGACATTTCTTTTCATTCTTAAAATCAGATATTCAGATGGTCTCCTGAGCCTCTCACTATCCATGCATGGCACTCTCTATTAATGTTCTTTTGCACAAATTAGTATGGTGTTTGGAAGTGTGGACACTTTTTGGAACTGATTTTCAATAAAAAACGCACATGCTTCTAAGACCCGTTTTTCACAAAAAAATGCTTGTCATGTAGGCAGTGAGCAGTACTATGTTGTTTGGTAAGGTGATTCCTATCACCGTTTTTCATGTATGTGCCGACAGGTAAGCACTACATAGGATACACATCAGTCAAACGCCAAATTTGACGTTTCATGCATGGTTGGGTCCTAATTTTTGAGGCATGCCTGATTGTTTAATAATTGGCTGAATCAGACAATGAGATACACAGGTGTTTGTTGAAATGCGAAACGCCTGTGGATCCGATGTGGCACCATTTTTTTGAAACGCCTATGGATGTGGATTCTATGTATCTAATCCATTTTGTTAATTATAAGGGGGAAGTATAAAATCTGAGCGTGCTTTTTCTTTATTTTTGTTCTTCCTGTATGTGTGATATTCCTTCTGCTCTTGGTGGATTAAATGGGCATTGAAGTTGAACTGTGAGGGTGAGGGTCAAGGTGGAGAAATATTCTGGTCCAAGATCAAGTGATTTTGTTACATGGTTGTTTTTTTAGTATATGTTTGGCATTGATGCTGTGGATGCAACACCATTTTTCTCAAGGAACGATGTTGCTAATGTGTGGGATGGAAGCGTTGTTTTCTGAGAAAACTGTGTTTTTTTTTTCGTTTGGAATTGTTGTTGTCAGGTAGGAAGTTTCCTGTAGCAACAACTTTTTCTGTTTGGTACCAATGCTCCAAAATACATTTTCAGCATTGGTATCCATTATCCAGTGCCACATAACTGCCACATCACATCCCTGTTGGCAGCAATGAGCTGCAGCTCCATAAAATGCCAAATTGTTTTGGTGGGTCGTCCGAGATCCTTTCGATGACCTATGTTGTGTTGAAGGGATATYTATATGATCCGATCGATTGCGTAAGGCCCGCGGTAGCAACGGAACCGGGGAAAGTATACAGAAAAGACAACTCTTTTCTATTATATTAGTATTAGTTAGTGATCCCGGCGCTTCTGATCTCGATAAAGCTACTCAGAATCAATTGGCAAGAGGTCAACGATTACGTGAATCAACAATTCGAAGTACTTTTCTTGTGTATTCTTGATGAACCAGTGTTTATATATAGATGGAGGATTTGTTTGGGAAATAAGAAGCCCCTTTGACATCTCTTCATCTGCAAAGAATTCTCGACGTGAAAACACAGAGAYAGAGGGCTGATCTTTGAATAGAAAAAAGAATGGATCTGCATATCCAGAATAATACCAATCCAACCCATTTCATGAATAAAATGTGACCAATTAACCAACCAACAAAACTACTTGTTACAAATAACATCTTGTTGTTGCATCGAAACATATAAATGTTGACTAATCTGGTTAACATTGAACTTGATAAAATGAAATGGTTGAATAATTGAAAAATGAGATTATTCAGGAATACACATTGAATGCTGAGATTACGCATTAAATTTCTGGTATTGTTTCAAGCCATGCCTTGCTGATATTCAAGGTGTGGCTTGGAGATCCATTTTTTATAGAAAAACAGATTCAAACAAATGCCCATTTCTTGAAGCACCGTTTTTTCTGATGTGGCGCTGATGTGATGCCGTTTTCTGGATCAACGGCAACGATGCCAAACATATACTTTATCTTAAGTTCTCAACCTTCGTACTTAAATGGGGAGAAGTAACGTGTTTTGGTACATTGCATTAAACACAAAATGCTTTACAATGGTTTATTGTAGTTTAGTAACACAAGTGCCACAGTAGACTGTCAAAAAAGATGTAAAATAGTATTAACGTTTGAAGTTTAATCTACCTAAAGAAATTTATGTGTTTTTTCATTCATGTATGTTGATAGTCTGGAAGGCCTACATTTCTACATGATGAGGCTTATCGCTTATGTGGAGAGTAGAGTCTAAGAGAACAAATCACATGTTTGATGTTTCCAGAACAGATACCGCCTTAGTTTCCACCACGGATTCGGTGATGCAAATAGAATGGTCCATTGCCTTGGTTTTTCTTAGTATAGTACAGTACTGTTTTTAGCATGCCAATTTGCCCATGGTTTTTCTTGGCATAGTAGATTACTTTTTCTAGCAACATTAATAACAGGACTAGAAACCACATCTCACCTCAGTATGCCAATTGAGCCATTCAGTTGGTTAAGGTCCCTCAACATTAGACGTAATCTATGAATGGAAAACTTTTTGGAGCCTAACTCGTCTTATTTCTTTGCATTCATAATTTGACAATAGATATGGCACTAAAGATAATGTGATGGTGAACCCCATATAGTTGGTACAAGGCTTAGATGATGATGAACTATTCTTATGATTTTCATTGTCAATTTTTTGAAATGAAAGAGAGAAAAGAGATACATGAGGTTGTTGCTACCCTGTGTCTCGGTTTGATTTTATTAAACTTTCTATAGCAATTAAATTTGAATCTGGATTTCCTACCCATAGGACACTATAGCTCTACATTAGGAATATCTCCCCATGAATGGTAACATGTAAACATGGAACATGTGTATAATGTACAGCTGTAGTGAGTAGGAGTTCCAAGGTCATTAAATTTTGGTGCTGTTTGGCACAAGAAGATCTTCTGATAGCTTAGATGGCCAAAAGATGTGTTGTTTGACAAGTCTTTTTTTGAATGATCTTCTGCAAGACAACCAAAAGACGTAGTGGGCTTTTACATAAAGATTTTGGCGGCCCACTGACTGATTTTGGTTGGAGGTGCGTCTTTTCGTACGAAGACAAGATGAAGAAAGGTGAGAAGCTCCATTTCTAGCTTCCTGAAATAAGCTTGAATCAAGCTTTTTGCATATATTTGGGGTGTAGCCTTTCGGCGGTTAGATCTATTTCTAATCAAACGGGAAAAAGATGAAAACGCGGGCTTCCATACAGCCGATAGCCCACACGGAAATACATGCCAAATGGGGCCATAAGCTTTTGGGGTCCTATCTTTAAAATTCTAAACCATTTGTTAAAATAAAAGATTTTAGGTGTAAAGTCAATTCTAAATTTTTGACCATTTTAGGCTTCCATGGTCTATAGAGATGTTTCATGTCTTTAATTGCCAAAAAGAAAAAGACCAAATTCAAGCTTTGAAAAACCTGAAAGACAACGCAAGAAGACTTCTTCTTTTGCTCTATCTTTCCACTTTGTAGATATCTATCTCCCCAAGAATGTATACAATTTTTCTACACATAGAATATTAAAAATTAAACTCGAAGAAAAGTAACACTTCGAATTGATATTTTCTATGATTTGTTTGTTTTTAATATGTTTAGACAACTAACCTTTATTACTTCCTATACTTTACATTGTATAAGTTCTGAACATTAAATTAATACTAAATTAAAGCAAAAACATAATAAATACGACAATTGAACTCCTACAAGTCCTTTTGTAAATAAATGACAACAGGGATCCTAATAACTTTCGGTTATTTTTTATTTAAAAATATAAAAAATGAAAATTTGAAAGAATCACAAAGTACACAAAATATTGCCGATGTGGACCCGATCCTTTTACATGTGTGATAGAAACATATCTGATATAATTTAATGTACTTTAAACCATCACCCATGGTTCAAATGACTCTCCACTCACCAGTTTAACTATTCAGTTCAGGTCGATGGATTTTGACTAATATCAATGATTTTTTTTGAAGCCCATATTGAATTTGGAGTAAAATAAACCAGTTTTTCGGGTCAATTGGTCCAACCAGATGGATTAAATGGGTTGTACACTACACATTTACACTTTTTTTTTTTTTTACATAAAAAAGCAGTTTTGATGTGAAGTTGCCGGGACATTGCATTTGTTTGCCGCTGCCAGTGCTTACGTCTTCGGAGATTCCAAGGAAATAAAATCGCATTCACATCACTACAAGCATTTCTTCGTTACTCCACCTCCACTTTATTCAACGTCGTTGCTAGTTTTTCTTCTTCTTCTTCTTCAACCGCAGCCATTGGGAGATTCTCCAGAGTGTTCATGGCTGCTGTTACCAGATCCGCTGCCGTAGCCTTCAACTCCGCAGGAATTCCAGCCAAATCGTCACTTCACGCCGGACAAACTGTTCGGAACATCGTTCACTTCCGGCAATGCCCTCCTATTGGAAAGAACAATCGATCGTTGCAGTTGCAATCATGCCTTGGCCTCCACTACAGATCGAATAGTTCCTCTGCTTCTTCTGGTAATACACTTTCGTTCCTCTCGGAACTTTTTTTTAGTGTTCTCTGCAATCTGCACTTCTTTATTATTATTATTATTATTTTTTGTTTTGTCTTGTTTAGTTGTTGTTGGTAATCTTTTGGTTCCTTCTTGTGATTAATCTGTTTGTTTTTCCTTTTCTATTTGAATGGTGAAACTGAATTGACTTTGTTGAAATCGTTTTCTTTTGAAGTCGGGGATTTCCATATAATTTCTCTCACTGTGTACGCACTTTCTGATGGATATTCTATATCATGAAGTAGATCACTTTCTTCAATCGGTGAAATGCATACAGAGGAAACCGAATATATGAAAGTAACTTATCTAATTCTAGACGTTTTACTTTGATACTTTGCTTGTTTTTCGTGATTCATTCGTTTGCTTACTTGCTTATGGAAATCCAGTTATTAAGTGATGTGTACGACCGTTGTCCTTGTACTTTCTAATTGCACAATAATGTTGGTTTTAGGAGTCTTCTTTCCCTTTTTAGCTTCCTTGTTTCTTATGTTTTAGGCCTTCCTTGCATCTTAGATGATCCATAAATTTTCTTGTAAAAGAATATAGAGCGAACTGATTTCGATGGCATATGCAGGAGTAAAAGCTCAGGTTGCAGCTGCTGAACAAGCCAGTGTTCAAGTATCTCAAAATCTGGAAGCTCCTGTGGTTGTTGTCACTGGTGCTTCTAGAGGAATTGGCAAAGCTATTGCTTTGGCCTTGGGTAGAGCTGGTTGTAAGGTTAGTTCATTTAATTCAATTTTCATGGATATGGTCACTGAACTGTTCTTTACTTTCTACTGTTGGCATGCCTAAGGAGATTAAAGTAGAAGCTACTAATGCAGCACCAGTGATTAATTTGGTCAGAGTAATTAAAGATGCATCCATTTATATGCATATGTTTTTGATAGGTCCTGGTGAATTATGCAAGGTCATCTAAAGATGCTGAGGAAGTTTCCAAGGAGGTGAGTTTTATCATTTCCGATGAACGTTTTTTTAGAAATTCTTTCTCTAGTACTATATTGTTGTTTATGAGCCATCAGCCATGCAATAATGCTTGTGACAATCAAGGTGATTTTCATATGGTAAAGGCATCTAGTGCATACAGCTTGTCTTGAGTTGGTATCTGTTATCTTAATCCCCTTTATATAATTTGGTGTTAACATATTTTTTATTCAAGAAGATATCTTTTTATGATGAAAATTCATTGGAGCAAATAACTCTCTCTTGATTCATAAGATATTTTTTTTTTGAGAAAAAAAGAAATTTATTTATCTACATATATAGCCAGTTATTGTGGCAAGAAACAACTGAGTTTTAAGCAATCTTCCACTGGCAAGTCAATCTTGGCTTCATAAGATATTTCTCTAAACACTAGATCCAAATAACTTTTTTTAATCAGTAACACATGACCTCTGCATTTGTGCAGTTGTCAAAAGAAGTGATGCTATGAATAGATAAAGCTGACCCAAGTAGAGATAAATTGTTTACATTTTCCACTTAGATGAACACTAGGAGTGGGTGCTCCCATTCATGAAAATGTCATTCAATCTCCCTTCCTCTCTTCTAGCAAGAGTGTCCGATAGATCATTGGCTGATCTCAGTACCCACCTGAACAAGATGTTTAAGTTCAAGGCCTAATTACAAAACTAAAATTTCTTTCTATTATTAAGTTATTCCAACCCAAGGAATGAACAATAATTCTTATATTTACTGTATAAAGCGGAAACATGGCTTCAATTCACAGTTTCAAGGGTAATGGTTTTAAAGGGAAATGACATGAGATATTAGTTCAAAGCAGGGTTAAAAAGGTGATTATTAGTAATTAATAATGTGACAGAGATAAAGTGTCACTCACAATCTGCAATTTTCACACCTATAAAAAATGGCATCTTCACATCAATCAAAACAAATGGCATCTTCACTAAGAAAGGGAATCACTTGTAGAAACTCTCACCCACATCTCTCTCTCTGTCTCTGATGTTATCAAGAATGAAAAAGTGGAAAGACTCATTTTTATTTCCCATTTGGCCTGGCCTCCCTTTCTAACCTCCTCTTTCATATAAAAATGGAAACTGAAGAGAAGTGGTTCTTTACTACCGTGTGTTCCAGTACATAAGCTGGGGGTTAAGGTAGACATTGACCTTATTTGTTGACTAAGGAGATTACAATAGGTGATATATGCATCCTCTAGCATCCTATGAAATAACATGACAGAGGGCTAGGAATGTTTTTGGTATACAAGTATACTTCTTTTGAGAAGTAATGTTAATTGTATCAATAAGAAGGATGTAACAAAAAGATGCACAAAATAGACATTAGATAAAAGAAGATGACCGCCAAAGAACTGTACAAGTCGTAAGCTATTGAAGCCTTTTATGACATAATCATCATCATCTGAGCCTTGTCCTGACTATATGGGGTCATCTACAAGTTTTATGACAATGATGACAAAATAAATTTCATTTCGGCTAGTCCCTGATCTAGCCACCAGTAAACAACAATGCTAAAACTCCTACAATTCCATATTTGATGACTGGAGGATGAGAACCCAAGAGAAGTGATATTTTTATTCTGCATATGCAATAATAATGAGAGAAGTAACTACAACTAATCCTGTCATTCCATTCTGCTCGATCAAGAGTTATGTTTCTGTCAATTTATAAGCCTTTAAATCATTTTTTACGACTTCAGACCACACTATCTTCGGTTTTCCCTTTATCCTCTTAGACCCATTTACTTTCACCAAATTTCTCCCAGTCCTCGGTAGAGCAGTTATTTACCATCTGTACACATGACCACACCATCTCAATCAACTTTCTCTTATCTTGTCGCTAATTGATCATTTGTGCATGTCTTGTCACTCATCCACTCGTCTATTGTGGCTTTGAGTCTCAAATGAAAATACATCACCTTCACTTTTATAGAGATTGACTCACTAATGAGGCCAATGATAAGTCCAAATCACATTGCCATTTTTGAGATCACTCTCTAAGACTTGAGCCTTGAATTTGGGTTTCCTAGAGAGCTTCCATCAAACCTCAACCTCATCTCATTAAATTCCTCTTTGCATTAGAGAAAGGCTGGGATTGGAGAATGCCATTAAGTTTCTAGATATCTAATCAAAACTTATATCCTAATTCTTTTGGCACTGAGACCTGATCATGTAGAACTAAACTGTTTTCACTATTTGAAGCTCCCTTTGGTTTTCTTCTCTTTTCATTCCTTCTGGGGTTGCATTGTTAAAGAGACTTAAAACAAAAAATGAATTCCCAAATAGAGGGATGTCCATTTCCACCCTTCATGCTTGTCTACTAGATGGATTTTAATTAGAAAGGCCAACAGTTTATGATTTCAACTTTTGGGTTGTTATGTCTACTTTGTGAAATTTGGGAACATCTGTTAACAATCTCTATCCCTCTTCCTTTTTTAAAACAGTTTTTTTTCCTCTTTTGTTTTTTATTCTTTTGCCAGATTGAGGCATCTGGTGGTCAAGCTCTTACTTTTGGGGCAGATGTTTCGAAAGAAGAAGAAGCGGAATCAATGATAAAAACTGTGAGGCAACATTCCTTGTGTTTATTGGATTCATTGAGTGGCTTTTGAAGTTGTTATGGTTTGAAGTTTTTAGATTTAACACATGGCATCTTTGTCTCCAGGTAGTAGATACATGGGGAACGGTCGATATATTGATAAACAATGCAGGTTGTCATGAGTTTGCATGTGGTTGATAAACATTAAGCATTATGTTACTTGCATCCTTTCCCCTAACTGTTCCACAATGTTCTTTAATAGGAATTACTCGTGATGGTTTGCTTATGAGAATGAAGAAACCTCAGTGGCAGGAGGTTATAGATTTGAATCTTACAGGTGTATTTCTCTGTACCCAGGTATGTATGTTGAAATATTTTACTATTTTTGAGTTTATATTTTTTCTTATAACCAAGGTTGTCTATTATGTGCAGGCAGCTTCTAAAGTTATGATGAAAAAGAAAAAGGTATTTCAGATTATTGTAGTTTAGCTTCCAAGCACTTTTTCCTCCTGCTTTCTTTCAGACTGGGACGCAACACCCCTTCACCTCATTGTTCAACACAACATCTGAGTTTCTTCCTCCATTTGGTTTCATGCTAACTATGAAATTAGAATATATCATAGTTGTCAAGGTGATCCCTAGGCAACGCCTAGAGGCGCTCATGGAGGGTTGCCTTGCTTAGTCGCTATGATATTTTTTATGCAATGCTCTTGGATGCTTTTGTATTCTTCAAATCTCCAAAGATCTTCTTGAGGACTTAATAATGTGTAAACAACCTTGCTAAAGCTTTTGCAATAAAAGCTATGATTTTGTTTGCCCTTCCCTTTTCTTCTGCAATAAAAGGTATGATTTCCCCCAAAATATTATTCAGTTTGAGTGAAAATATTAGTTTCTTTTCATTATTTTTCTTATTTGTAAGGGTTCAATCAACATGTGTAATGTCTTGAACTCTCGAAGACTTTAAAACCTGAACTGATAAGCATGGAAGAACTTAAAATATAAAAATTAACCTCCATCCCCAATCTTTGAGACAGGCTTCCCCATTAGGGACTTGAATTCTTGATTTCTTTAATTACAATTTCTTCGGGAAAAAGATTTACTCAAAATAAAGAAAAATTTAAATATAAATAACATAGAAATTGAAATTTATGTAGTGGCATTATAATTGTACCAGATTATTTTCAAAATTTAAAACACACGTAATATTTAAAATATTTATATATGTCATCAGGGTCAGGGTGGGGTAGGGACTTCACTCCCCTTTGTCCCTATCCCCGTCCCCATCCCCGACCCCACCAAGGCACTCTCCATTCCCTGACCCGATCAGGTCAGGGAGACTAGGTACCCAATGGGGATGGGGAACATTCTCATCCCTAGTTGCTACTTGCTATGGAACCTAGGGGATTGTCCTAGGATTCATGGTTTTTATTAAAAAAAGCTATTGCCTAGGTGACTAGGCGATGAGACACCTAGATTCACTTTGAGGCTTTAAAGTATGCCTATAGGCTCTACTCCCGTTACTTTGACAATCAAGACATACAAAGATAGCTTAACTTTTGTAGCCATGAGTTCATGTAGCCACAACACTTTCTTTTGGCCATTGAATAAGACACACCATACTATCAACCAAATGAAAATCCAAGTCACCCAATGAGTGTTTGCTTGGGTGATTTGGTTTCGATGTGTTCACATGGTCACAACACTTACTTGTGACCATGTATGTGATGAGTTCATACGACCACAACACTTTCATACGGCCCTCCAATGAAACATAAACATGCTGTCAATCAAATCATTGAATGCATGAATGCATGCATGGGTGATTTGGTTCCAATGAGTCAAGTGATGGCAACACTTTCTCTTGACCCTCCAATAAGACACGGACATGCTAGTAATCAAATTTAAAATCAAATCACCTTGTGAGTGCATTACTGGGTGATTTGGTTTCAATTAGGCCACATGGTCAAAACACTTTTTGCAACCCTTTAATAAAACATAAAGATTATATCAATCAAATAAAAGATAAAATTACGCAATGCATGCATTCTTGCTGTTGCTACCCCAAGTGATACATGAACTACCCGTTATCGTATGATAACGGGAAAATCTACGATGCGGGAAAGATATGATATGGAGAGAGTTTTGACCAATCAAAACCCACCCATGAATTTTGATAAATAACACCTGATTCGCTTCCATGTTTCTGATTCCACTTTATTAGTCAAATATTTTTCCGATATCATATCTTTTCCATATCATAGTCTAACCCTATGATAAAATAGAGGTTACCTCTAGGATCCAATATCTTATCATGAGTATCAAGAAATACGAAGGTAGCCTAACATGTTGAGCAACAGACATGCTATAAGTCAAAGGATAAACCAAATCACCTAGTGAGTGCATGCTTGGGTGATTTGGTTTTCAGTGTCAGTCAAAGTGAGAAGTCTGATAGATGGAAAGGAGTGGGTGCTAACAAATGTATATGGCCCAAATTCTTATAAAGAAAGGCCTCTTTTCTGGGAGGAGCTGAGTGTAGTAAGGGGTTTGTGGGAGGGACCTTGGTGCTTGGGTGGTGACTTTAATGTAATACGGTTCTCGGCAGGGATAAACAATCCAAATCAAAGAAATTCCGTAAGCATGAGGAAGTTTAATGAGTTTGTGGACGCTTTTGAATTGAAGGAAACTCCTTTGCTACAAGCGGACTATACTTGGTTAAACTTCCAAGCTGTCCCAATCTGACCACACGAGCCGTGCCTAGAGTAACTTCAGATCACTGCCCTATTAGGTTATCTCAAGAAACTTTGTTAGGTGGGCCCTCTTTGTTCAGGTTCGAAAACATGTGGCTAGAAGATCCCACCTTTGTGGAGAAAATCAAGTCTTGGTGGCCGAAGTTGGATACCAGAGGCTTAAAGAAAGGGGTTGGATTCTTGAAGACTAAAGAGACTAAAAGAGAAAATAAAAGCCTGGAATAAGGAGCTTTTTGGTAAAGTGGAGGAAGCTAAAGAAAGAATTGTTGTAAGAATTGAGGAACTGGACAAGAAAGGTCAGAAAAGCCTCAGTGAGGGAGACAAAGAGGAGAGATGGAGGTTAAAGTGAGTTGGAAGGGGATGGGAATACAACTTTTTTTCACTCTTTAGCTAGTGGTAGAAGGAGGAGAAACCTGATTTCTAGACTAGAGGTGGATGGTCACGAGGTAACTAGGGAGCATGAAACTGTGAAGATCTTTGTGGATCATTTCAAAGGCATTTTTCCGAGCCTAGGATAGAGGAGCTCTGTCTTCCTAGACCTCTAGTGGGATAGAGTGCCGAATCCTTTGTTTGCAGCCTTGGAGAATATCTTCACCCTAGAAGAAATTAGAGAAGCTGTTTTTTCGATGGATAGAGCGAAATTTCTCAAGGATAGAGTGCCGAATCCTTTGTTTGCAGCCATGGAGAATATCTTCCATGAAGGGGAAATTTCTCAAGGAATTAAGTCAACCTTTATTGCTTTAATCTCCAAGAAAAAGGAGGCAAAAGCTCCACATGTGATCTCACAGTCTCAAGGAGCCTTTGTTGAAGGGAGACAAATAATTGATCAGATACTAGTGGCAAACGAATGTGTAGCAGAAAAGGGGAAAATAAAAGGTAAAGGGGCTGGTGTGTAAATTGAACTTAGAGAAGGCATATGATTTAGTTGATTCATCATTTCTCCTCGAGCTGTTAGAGAGAATAGGTTTGGGTGCATGGTGGAGGATGTGGATAAAAGGTTGCTTGAGCTCAATGCATTACTCAATTCCAAGGTTCAAAGTATCGACATGTATCGGGCCGTATTGGCTGATATGTATCGTATCGGGAGCTTCTCGATACACCCCTACAGAGGGTGTACAGGGTTTCGACGGTTCAGGGGGTGGACGGACCTTAAACCGGTCCCTCTAAATCAGATTTTAAAAACTAAAAAAATAAAAAAAAAGCTATCGATATCGCCCGATATGCCTCTACTGGCATATCGGGTGTATCGATATTTTGAACCTTGCTCAATTCTGATTAATGAAGTGGCTAGAGACTTTTTTTCCTACTAAAAGAGGCTTGAGGCAAGGGGACCCTTTATCTCCGTTCCTGTTCATTGTAGTTGCTGAATTCCTGAGTCGGATGATTGTAAAGGCTGATCAGGTCAACCTATTTAGAGGTTGGAGGGTAGGAAGGCTTGAGGTGACAGTCACTCACTTGCAATTTGCAGATGGCATCATTATTTTCTGCGAGGGAGGGAGTCGGGAGGATATAAAAAACTTGAGAAAGCTCATCCTTTCTTTTGAATCTGTTTCTAGGTTGAAGGTGAATTGGGAAAATAACTGCATAGCAGGGAATAATTTGGAAGAAAAAGCTTTAAGTGTGTTGGCCAAAATTCTTGTGTGAGATTAAATAGTGATCTTTGGAGTACTTAGGTATACTGTTGGGAGGGAACCCAAGATTAAAAGTGTTTTGGAAGACGGTGGTGGAGAGGTTTACAAAGAGATTGGCTCAATGGGAAAGAAACTACCTTTCCTTGGGAGGGAGAATCATCCTAATCAGGGCAACCTTAGCTAACCTACCAGTCTACTTCCTTTCCACCTTTAGGATCCCTGCTAGGATAGCCAAACATCTAGAGAAGTTAATGAGGGACTTTTTGTGGGAACCTGCAGATGAGAAAAGGAATCATTTAGTTAAGTGGGAACAAGTGTGCAAAACTAAGGAGAATGATGGACTTGGAATAGGGAATCTAATCCAAAGGAATACATCTTTGCTAGGGAAGTGGCTCTGGAAGTTTCCATTGGGGAGCTCTTTAGGAAACCTGGGACCGGCAGGCATAGGGGGTGTATTTAGAGATTGTTCATGGAAAGTATTGGCAATGTACTCGGGTCCTCTAGGGGTAGGAGATTCAATAAAGGCTGAGCTGCTAGCGCTGTTACAAGGTGTAATAGATACACACTGAGAGAGATAGAAAGTCTGGCAAGGGAACTCAATGCCTCATTCACTTGGATCAGAAGGACTGCAAATGGAATGGTTTATTCTTTAGCTAAGCAAGGGGTCCATAGGCAGCAGCTGTTTTGGGCTCAATTGTAGTTTTTTTGGCTTTGCTGGAATGTTGGCTTTATTGTAATTTGGCTCTGACTTTTCACTGATTATAAAATTAATTCTTCTTTGCTGATAAAAAAAAAAATGAAAAACCAAATAACCCAACGAAGTCATGTCTGCTATTGCTACACCAAATAATAGAAAAACAACCCTACTATCATATAAAATAGAGATTACTTCTAAGATATATACTACCTAACCATGACAATCAGGTAATACCAAAGTAGACTAACAAATAGAATGATACGTAGACAATAAGGCACTCATGGAGGGTTGCCTCACTTAATCACCAAGATATTTTTTACACAGTGCACTTGGATATGTTTATATTCTTAACTTTCTGGGATTATAATAGTAAAATAGACATTATTAAACCAAATTATTCAGTTTAAGTTAAAATACTAGTTTCTGTTTTTTATTTTTCTTATTTGTTTGGGTATCAAGATGTATACTGTCTTGAACTCTCGAAGACTTAAAACCTGAACTAATAAGCATGTGTATCTCAAATGTTCTCCAATCAACACATATTGATCTTCTTCTCTTCCTAGGACAAAAATAGAGGTTCAGCCCCTCTATTTTCTGAAATTTCTTTCTTTTCTTCCATACATTTTTTATGAAGAATATAGAAAATAATAGTGAAAGATGGTTCCTGCTTGCTACGAAAAATAGGGAATTACCCTAGGATTCATGGTTTTTATTCAAACCCGTACCTAGGCGACTAGGCAACAAGGTGCTCCCCCTTTCACCTAGCATCACCTTGGTACCTTGAAAAACTATCATACATTCCAGTGGGCTTTATTCACATTTGTAATAGAAACAACTTGTCCTTCCCTTTTTTGTGGTTAGTGCACCTTATGTTGAAATTCCTGAACGGATCTCTTACTACCAAAGATAAGAAGTGAAGTTTCTAAATTATGTTGGCTATTTCTGGCTTGCCTGTCATCTTTTTAGTTTCTTTTTTTTTGTGCTTTTCCATGTGTGTTCTACCTATTGATTTAATAATTTATTGTGCAGGGAAGAGTAATTAATATAGCATCTGTTGTTGGTCTAGTTGGCAATATTGGACAAGCTAATTATAGTGCTGCTAAAGCAGGGGTTATTGGTCTCACAAAGAGCGTAGCAAAGGAATATGCAAGCAGAAATATCAATGTGAGTGTGTCATAATAGTTGCCAATACTTTTTTTTTGACCTATCCAGTGCTAGTGTGTGTAACATTTATTGCACTGGTTGCACAGGTGAATGCTGTTGCTCCTGGTTTCATTGCATCTGATATGACTGCCAAGCTTGGACAAGACATTGAGAAGAAGATTTTGGAGACCATCCCTTTGGGTAAGAGCAGATTAGCTGGTTGTTGGCTCTTCTGGGAGAAAATTGGTATTAAATTCATTAAAGATATTTACCTGTTAAAGTGGCCAAGTAGTTCTTTAGTAGTCAAAATTGCTAGCTAGATCATTTGTTATAGAGATCATACATGATGAGCCAACTGGCTGTGGTCCATTGTCCTTGGAATTTCTATGCTAAACTTGTTAGAAACATTTTATCTGCAAAATATTTTCTGGATGGGGATGGCTCACACATAATGTTGGATAATAACTATCCCTTTTGTCTTTTTGGTCAATACATCATCATCATCATCATCATCATCATCTAAGTCTTGTCTACATGAATCCTGTTCTGCCATTCTGTTCTGTGTTGGGTGCTTTTTGGTTATCCATAATTGGTATCTGCAAGACAGTAGATTAGCAGTTGGTCAGATTGCTATTAGGTGTCATATTAATATATAAATTATTTTGATCTGGATTTTATGTATCAAGCAAGAATTTTGAGGTTGATTTGTTGTTTGTTTATTGACAATGATCTGGATGAAGAGAAACTTGAAACGTTGCCTATGCTGTCCATTTAAATAAACAAAGTGACAATCTTATTATCAATTGTGATTGTAGGGAGGTACGGGCAACCAGAAGAAGTTGCTGGACTGGTGGAATTTTTAGCCTTGAGCCCTGCAGCCAGTTACATTACTGGACAGGTACTTTTGATAAACTTAATCACTATGGCTTGCAGAAAGTCATTACTAATTGTCTTCTCCTTGTGAGCCCTTATTACTTCCCCATATACCCTATGAGGCCCTCACCAAGCATCTCATATAGATCGTTACTATTGTTTTACAGGTATTCACAATTGATGGAGGCATGGTAATGTAGAAGGATTGGCGATCCTCTTGCCTGGTAAGATTCCCAAAGGCCTTTGGGATAATTCACTATGGTTAAATGGACACCCCATGTTCATATGAGGAATAACAGTGTGAGAATGATTAACGGTAATGGGCATATTTAAGCATTTTTTTGGTAGGTTTTGGGATAGGCATCATATTGAAAACCAAGCGAGGATGCAATTTTCTGTTAAACAGTTTTGTATGCCCTTAGCTCCAATAAGTTTTGATGTACTTTTGATATTTAATGTAATAAATAAAGTACATGTTTGATTCATTTTGTGTGGTATGCTTCTATGTAAGACCTTAAAACTGGACACTTAATGAGACTTATGTTAGTTTTAAATGTTCACAGTCGTTGGATAAGTCTGGGGAGATTTATCTTGCCAAGGCTGACATTGGTGCGCTGCCAACTGTTGGGGTGGCTTGTCTCAGCCGCCAGGGTGAGACCCAAGGCACACGCAATGTAGGATTACTTGAACCCTTGAACCAGACCAGATTTCCAGTATTGCCCTGGATCTTGGAGATTGATGGGCAAAACTGGAAAGTTACACCTAACCCCTAGTCTCGATTATGATACTGCACTAGGTGTCATAGTGACATGATCCTATGCGGGGTTCAAAACCTGGGCATATTGGGACAGTCTGATAATTCATTTGAGTGGATGATCATAGTGACATGATCAGCCCCTTTGTCGGACAAAGGTAATGATCGGGGATGCACTCTCTCTGATGGAAACCAAACTGTCGCAGTTGATTTCAATCGTTGGAATTTTGTTTTGCAAAATTTATATATATGATATATACTTAYATAHGSTTTCAAAATGTTTGCAAATGGTTTTAATTCCCGGGATCCATGTGAGTAGAGAGTGCAACACTGTTCCTTGTAGTCGAGGGAGATGTCCTCTCTTGTCGAGCAGTGCTTGATCATTATGGGTTGAGAGGTTAAGTGTAAGACCATTAAGGATAATACCTGATGGGCTAATCATGCATCTGCCCACAGTCCCTGGGTTTTTATAAGATGGTTTGGCCCAGGGACCACTTAGTGTAAGTGTTGGGCTCATAGGGTCCATGTGATGGGCTCAAGGGGTTCATTAGGTTTTCTAGTGAATTCGGCTAAGCCTTGTAACAAAGGCTGGGCCGAATCCATGTGGCTGATGTGGAGATCAATGTTTGGGTCCCACGCCATACAAAGAAGCCGAACTGGGCTGATATGATCACCCATTTAAGGGGGCGAATCTGCAGATAGGATTAACCTCCTGATGAGATCAGGAATGGGCTGATCTAATCTGTAGATAGGATTAAGATTATCTCCTATTCAAATACAGATTTGGATTGAGATAACTCCTAATGGGATTATGAGGTTTCCTAATCACTAAAAAAAGAGGAAACCCTAATAAAGAATTACAAGAATTCGACCTAGGGTTATGCAGTTATACTCTCTGCAATCTGAGATAGGATCTCACCTCCCCTAAGCTAAAAACTGCATTCACGCCTCTTTCAGCCTTAGGGATCTCCTCCAACCGCCGCCACTTTACTGCATAGTTCGAACTCTATTGAAGAGAGAATCAAGAAATCTGTTCTTGATATCAGTCTTTGCCGAAAGACTGATTTGGTTCGGTGTTCTAAGCCTCCAACGAGTTCTTGTGAAGAGTTTGGTACGTGAGACATATACTGTTGGTTTTGCCCCACCATCGTTGTGTCATCTTCAGCGGGAGTAGATCTTGGATCTTTCTTTGGGCGTGAACACCGACGTTGGGAGATTTTGATTCTCCGTATCAGGTATAACCCTTCCCCTGATCTTTGGTTCGGATCTGGTCTGGTTTGGTTCGAGTAGATCCTTGAATATTTGATTCTAAAATAAGGGAATGCGATTCCCAGTTGGAAGAAAGGTAGGAAATTTTTGAAATTCGCCCACCCATTCCGCAACCTTTTTGGTGTCCATACGATGGATCCTACCATTCTTTCATTTTCTGTATTCTTGAATTGGTCCTCCATTGCTCCTGATTTAAATTAAGGGTCCGTGTGTTTTGTAGTCAGAATCAGAATCGGAATGGTTTATTCCCATAGTCTATTTGGTTCAGACAGGAATGGGAATGAGAATTGGAATCAGCAGGAATAGGATTTTATTCCCAAGGGAGGGGCAGGAAATGGTCATTCCCTCAAATGGAGGAATGCCATTCTAGCAGGAATGAAAATAGGATTTCGATTCCAGCCAACTGAATAGTTGCTATTCTGATTCCGATTCCAAACCCTTGTTCCTGTGAACCGAACCAGGCTTAAAACACCAAAAGAGCCATCCCTTAAGAAAGCCCAAGAGGAATTTGGCTGTCCACGGTCAACATCTTTAGGTTGTCAACACTCAACAGGGCCTTCCCCCGCAGGACAACTCAGTTCACACGGACTCCTTGTAGCCTTATCAGTGTCAACTGTACACTAGCATGTCATGCAGGGAGAGCCATGTGGACCAACGTTTTCGAACCGCTGTTGACCCGGATGGTTGGACCGTTTGTCCCGGGAACTATTCAGGCAATCGGTTCCGTTTTACCCCAAACCCGGAATCTGGTCAAAAACTGTTGAAAAAATCAACAGACCGTTGACCTGGGTGGTTGAACCGTTGACCCGTCGACTTGTTCAACGGTTTTTGACTGTTTTTTATTTTTTTAATTTTGCTGTCAGAACAGGCTGTCCGTTTGAACCTGACTGTCGACCTAGAAACCGGTGGCCAGAACGGTTCCGTTTCCGGGTCGATTTTTAAAACGTTGATGTGGACAGCCAAAGGTTTCTCCATACGGCGGATATGCTGTTTCTTGAACCCACCGACCCACTAATATGTGATGTAGGCCTTCCTCATCACATCCAATGAAATCGCACTTCCATATATGCTCCATGATCCATCCATAAACGTAATTATATGAATATGCATTTGCAGGATAAGTCGATGACCAGTTTATGCTCTAGGTATGGATTATGCTACATTATAGTAGTGTTCACCCAAAAGCTATAATGAAAACTGCGTTGGATACGCTATTGTTGTTCCTGGCATAGTGGCATCCCAACCAAACCAAGTGATGCAAAACCACGCCAATGGCTCAACCTTTTCTCCTGCCTTGAGCTGTTTTTTAATGTCTGACTTGTATGATGCATTTCTACAAGTTATGGCTTGTACTTGTAGCGCTTGAGGAAAACTCTTTCATGGAATAATTGATTTCTTGATTCTAAAATTTTAAAGTGTCCATTTGTAGTGTGTCCCGTATCCACCCTTGTAGCGGTTGGCATCCCAGATCAAACCAAGTAATGCAAAACTGTGCTAATGGCTCAACCTTTCTCCTGTCTTGAGCTGGTTTTTATTGTTTGACTAATATAAGGTTCAAAATATCAATATGCTTGATACGCCGGTAGGGGCATATCGGGTGATATTGATAGTGTTTTCAACCCTTTTTTTATTATTTTTTTTAAAACCGATTCAGGTGACCGGTTTAAGTTTCCTTCACCCCCTGAATCAGTTAGAACTAGGGGTGTATCGGGAAGCCACCGGCATGATACGTATCGGCCCATTGATACTTTGAACCTTGAGTATGATGCATTTCCATAAGATATGTCTTGTAGGTTGTTTTTCACATGTTGAAAACTGTCCTTGGAAAAGTTGATTTCTTTGACTCTAAGATGGGTACTAGAGGATAGAATTTGATAGAAGTTGATTCGCTAATATTCAGATAGAAATCAATGGATTCAATTAGAATTCAGACAATGATTGGATATGGAATACTACTAATAAATTAAACTAAAAATTATCAGAATATTGCATTTTATCAATGAAATGAACTGAAATATTGTACTGAGACATGCGACATTATCGAATTTGTAAAACTACAAGAATCGAACCAACTTTATCAATGGATGCATTTTCATTTTATGCAAATATAACAATGTACATTTAAATGTTATCAAATTAGATCGGATTGTACCGGATCTGTATTCTATCCAATTATAAATGAATGGAACTCAGATCACCTTGGATGTAAATTGCAACCCTATTCGATAACTACAATGATTTTTCCTCCACTTGTTTTGTTCAATATTTTTCTTTTGGCCGTGTACGCAACTTTGCATCAGTAACCCAATAGATGAAAGCCATATGCCTTTTAGCCCGCATTCGATAGTCTGATTCCAACTCCTTTCCATCGGTTGTATTTTATTTTTCTTACAAATCGTTACTAAAAATAGGAAGAAAACAGGAGAGGGAGAGGAGTAAGCTAGAAAAAACCTGGAACCTAGCGCTTTATAATGAATTGAATGACCCATATCAGTGGTAATTAAGGAAATGGGTTGGCAGGTGCTGAGGCCAAAAGCAGTGATTTAGGGTGCAATTCGACCTACCGTATAATTGATCCCTGTTTGAACACCTAGGAAACCTGTACTCAATTATGTAATTGTAACATTCTGATCCATTAGGTAATTTTCTAAACATCCAAAAGTATGAGCTCGATTGGATGGTCAGTCAGTGGGCAGGCGGTATCAGTTTTTATGTCGTCTCCTAGATGGGAGAAAGAAATGTTGTACGTGGCCTGGAGAAAACAAAATGCTCGTTTGTTCCAGTCTGTAACAAGATTAAATTTGCTGTACACAGAACAACTTGCACACCAAGACTATATGTACTTAAGCTAATTTTCGAACATACCTTCATCTAAAAGTCTAGAAGATTCAGTTCCATTAACAAGAGGCTGAGTTGATAAATTTACACTAGATTCACCTAGAATGCTGTAATCAAAGTCATCATCATCGTCTTCATTGGCATCCATGTCGCTATCTGTGTCTTGATCTTCAGCCACTTTGTGGCCCATTCCTTTCGAATGAGCTTCTCTTTGCATCCGCTGCTTGATGGCATCTTCATAAGACATTTCATACCAGACGGTGCCCTTGCCCACAATAGATTTGTTATGGGCATCAGTCATCCGCTCCTGCTTGCTCTTTTCTGAGTTTTTGGGTTCTCCCCAATAATCATAACGGTATAAAGGGTTTGAAGGGTCATACTGATCCTTTCCAAAATAACTGTCATCAACATATCTCCCTGGCTCTTCCAATGGGAGGCCAAGAGCTTGACGGCTGTAAAGGAGCATATAATTTCATTAAAGGTAACAAAGGAAAAGTGAATGCTTCAAAATTATTATAATAAATTGTTTTAAGATAGAAATAAAACCATGCTTCAAAAAGGTGTGATTGGACATAACCCATTTTTTATAAAAGTGAGGTATACATCTAATTATTAGTCAAACACTACAAGTTTTAAAACATGAAGGATGTTAATACTTGACATAAGAATACTGATGCCTTTCCACTGGGTAAGTGCTCAAATAACTTCCCTTAAAACTAATAACTTTTCACAATCATACAATACTCACCCAAGACCAACTGAGTGGTGGCTCGGTTGGTATGTAAACTGGGTAGTCCCAGAATAGATGCGGTTTTGAGCCCTGCTATCAGCTCCCACCACCATTTGGAGAAGAATTATTAAATAGTTGCTGAAAAAAGTGTTGTACTATGCGAAGGAAAAATGATTTACCGCCCCTATGATGGCATAAGGCGAGTGTTTCAATACCAAAAAAAAAGACAAATGAATGGAAGGTATAATAGAATAGAGTGTTTCACAAGATTCCCGTAGTGCCTTTGAACAACTTTCTAGAGCTTAAGTTTTATGCCTATGGCCCTATGTAGCCAAAGTTTTATCATGACTGTGATTTGTATAAATTATGCAATTCACCACAGGCTTTGTGGTTGAAGGGATGGAAATCATTACTTAAAACCATAAAGGTAGAAGAACTAAAATTGCTAAGATGCAGAGGATGTACCAGCTAATATAAGCTATAAATTTAGAAATATTTAACTAGGAAAATAGCTGATAAAAAATTTAAATAGGAAAATAGTATTAAAGATGGTACCAGCTAATATCTCTCAGCAAGGCTTCTCTTTCCTCAAATGATCGGCGCCAATGGATTAAGTCATATTCATCCATTTCAATATTTCGTCTCAACTTGGTTACCTTATATTCCTCTCCTCTCTCCTGTGCTTCCCTTTTCAGTTTGTTGTTGAGCTGCATCAATACATTTTGTCATAAACGAGGGAAAAAAGAGAGAAGGGATGATATTGTGAATGGCAACTAAATCAAACATGAAACTCTTTAACTACATCTATTACAGAACCTACAATCTTACAAACCATTGGGCATGTATTGAGGCATGGAGAGTTGACTAAATACTAATAATGATTCCTTGAAAACCATACATTGAAGAAAAGAAAACAAGTATAGTGGAAATCTTTGGTTATACATCTAGAAAAAGAATTATGCAAAAAGGAGCATCAGTAACAATGTGGAAAATGTCATTCCCTCCTAAGTTCTAACATCCTATAAATGCAGGTACTGTGACAATTCCTGTAAATAAAGCAAAGTCCAGCTCCAGCCAACAAGGCCAATCTATGATATCTATCCATATTTGGGCAAAAACCAGTTTAGCTGATTTATCCTAACCACCTGACCCTCGGGAAAACCACATACAATCTAGACCATGAAGTAGCAGGCATGGCACCACATGTGGCACAAGAAGAAAAACCATGTAATTCAATCTTGACATGAAAATTAACTGATTTAATGGGTGAGGAATGCTGTAACTCTCAAATCACATTCAAGTTTCTAAGCTATGAAGCAAGTATCTTACTTGGCGCTCAGCACGAGCTGCATCCAAATCAAGTTCTTGAATATTTGTTTTCTGTCAGATAAAAAAATAAGGAAACATTAAGCAAGACTAGATTATGACCATTAAGCAAATTCATTAACTGATATAAATCTATGTACTATTCAAGGGAAATATCACTCACCAGAATCATCTTTGGGAGCAATGTCTTCTTATAATAAGCTTGGGTATATTCAACACAATCTTCTTCATTGAAGTCACTGTTCTTAGTTGATTCAGCAAATTTTCCGTCTTTATATTTATCAGGATTAGCTTCCTCATCATCCAGAATCATTTGTTCAGCAACATGCAACTGCCACAGCTGCAGGTCAGTGAAAGGCAAGCATAGTGAGTTGGCTTTGTCTCAATAAAGTTTCTTGTCTTTAACTCATTATGAATGCCTGAACATTAAACATAGGTACTGGGTATACAAATTTGATTTGCTGTTTGATTACATTCAGGATCATCAGACCTCCGAATCAAAATGTTGTGCAAGACAATTGAACAATAATTTATATTCTGGGATGAATTAAAGGCCAGAATTGATGAAATAAAAAGCTAGAGTTTAACATCTTAAATCAATCCAGCATATGTAGGGCTCTCTCATGGGTTGGATCATTATCCAGATTTGAATTTGATCCTAGTATGCTTGATATGGATATCAAATAGTGGATCCATTTATAATCAGATTGAGTGTGGATCAACCCCAATACAGTCCAAGTGTTACTACATAAATGCACATGCAGCATATAAAACTAACATTTATTTATAGGTAAAATTGGTTTAAGTATTATGGTTTTGATGAGATACTGCTCACCTCCAGGAGTCTCTTCGAGGGAGACCCAACCTCCTGAACAGAGATAGATGAAGGAGAGAGAGAGAGAGAGAGAGAATTGGATTCAATTATGCTGCTCCTTCATATATATATATATATATATATATATATATAGTGGTTTTGGGTTACAATCAGAAATATCCTAACAAACTCTGTCAGCTATAACGAATTCATGCAGAGGGACCAGCTGACATGTTGTCTGGTGAGGCAAGGTACTGAGATGGCTTGCTTCGGTTCTGCCTCAGGTAAGTGTGAGTGACTGAGGGCCTGGGCTTCTGGATTGGATCTGGGCCTTGATTCCCAAAAGTTTTTTATTAAAATACCATTGTTTCATGTCTTGGAAGTCATTTCATTAATACTATATAACATTAATTCTTTTCTATTTCATTTTAGTAATGAATTATAATATGAAAGTCATTTTTAGTTTAATTTCTCAATAAATATATAAATTTGATTCATGTCCAATCTGAACCTGACGTATAGAATCCAATTCCAATCTAAATACTAATAGGATCTGTACAAGATCTAAGTACTGATGGCTGTATCCGTATCCTACAAGTATAGAGAAGTAAAAAGAGGGCTCCAAACTGCATAGAGGGCCTTCCACATCCTTCAGAAATTCTGGGACAGTGTAATAAATGACTTGTTCCAGTCCATGACAACCAGAAGAATTTGGAATCAAATATTATTCATAACAGAAATGGAAATACCTGTCAAGGTCATGTATACATGTCAAAATAAAATTAATTCCAATAAACCCAAGTGAGCAACCATTCAGTTGAAAATATTACAGGTAATATTCTTCACAAATATTGGACAGTAATTAACTACATAAGTCAGATCAAAACAGATTTATTTTCAAGTCGGTATTAGGGCTGTTCATAACAAGACCCAAACCGATCAAACCGACCAACCCGGTCCGATCCAACCCGAGTTGGTCGATTTTTCTTCAGCACCAGTCGGTTTCGGGTTACAAAAAAACATAAACCGATGGTTTGACACATGAAAACCGAAACCGAACCGACCCGAACCGACTTAGATATATATTATATATATATAATATTTCAGATATATTATATATATCTGATATATTTCAGTTTTACTATATATATTTCAGTTTTAATATATGTTTCAGATATATTTCAGCTTTATTTCAGAAATATACATATTATATATAAAATTTCTGATATATAAAATATCAGTTTAATCCATCAAATCATTTTTAATTTCTAGGCATCCAGCCTTTTCTTTCTTAGACTTGAATCCTTTACCATTCACACCGAAAGAATCATTCACAAAACCGACCCAAACCGATTCAAACCGACCAGGTCGGTTTTACTTAGTACTGGGTCGGTTTTGGTTTCATTTCTAGGTAAACCGACCAGGTCAGGTCGGTTGGAAAAACGCCAGTAAACCAACCCAACCCGACCCGTGAACAGCCCTAGTCGGTATAACAAGTATAAAGGGCAGCCCAGTGCACGAGGCACCCACCAATGTGTGAAAAAATATTTCATGTTCTTCAAAAGTGTACTAGAAGCTAATATATTATTTAAATCAGCTAAAAAACCTTTCTTTCATTGCTCAGATCAAATAAAAACAGATTCAGAATGGTACTGTAATTGAAAAAAAAAAACTTTTCTTACATGCCAGTTCCCYCCCCCCCCCCCCACACCACCACAAAAAAAGATAGAAAGTCGATGCCCTTCCATGTCAGAGTTACCTTATCAACATATGGATGATTTGACAGTAGGGGCTGCTCTTCAAATTTGACTCCTGGTCCTTTTCTTGGAATTGGTGGCCTTCCACAATCCCGCTGCAAAGAGCAGAAGTAGGAGATGATAAGAAACTGAACACTCGCATTTCACAATGTATAGTGAGCAGATGCATAAATAGAGCAGAGCTTAACATGTAACAATATAAATTGCTAGTTCATTATTGTTTTGACTAAATGCAGTGTAGCAGTATCCTTAATTGGCTAAAGTTAAGGGATCTAAACTCAGGACAGACAAAAGTTAAGTTCAGAAAACATGGAGACAGAAAGATAACCCAAAAGACTCAAAAGGTAAGTTTTTCTTCTTTGATAAATAGATTCCAAAGGTACATGTTAGCATAGTTAACTAATGCTACAAATGGAAATCCATCACCAAAGGTTATGATCGAAATGGAAAAAGTGTACCAATTCTCAGATAAAAGCTCACTGGTCCATTACCCCTAGAAGAGCACTGCATGTTAGAACAGGAATAAGGACAATAGTTTCTACTAGTTGCCAGCCCAACACAAACAGTTTTTTTATTTGTTGTTTTGATAGATAATGTAAATTTTGTTGAATATGATGAAGAACAAAGGATGAATCACATACAAATATGCCATGCATCCCTCATCTTAGGCTGGCAACTGCCACCTACCCTCCCCTTTTTACTTCCATAGTCCCTTAGCTGTCCCCCACAATAACTGTATTCTATTTATCCCCCTTTTTTAGCCAAGGCATCAGCCATTCAATTAGCTGATCTATGTACCCTATTGCAACTATCTCCCTTTCCACTCCTCTCCCTCATGATACCTCAATGTTGCCAAAACATGTAATTTTATGTCTAAAAAAGCACAGGCTTGAAGCATAACTGTACAAGGAACTGGAATATGGAAAAGAAATAAGTAATTTCTATGGTGCCAGAAAAGTATGGTACCCAAAACTTTGACCAATCAGAAACCCATGTGAATTTGGATGAAAACCAATTGATTGGTTATCAGTTTTTAGGTACCACACCTTTTCGATACCATAGTGGGACTCAGAAATATCATTAGGTGGAAAAGTCACACTTAATAGAAAGAGTAAGCACATACACGTAATTCATCTGGATTAGTATCTTCATCACGATGAAATATTGGTGGAAACTCAAATCTGTTGAAGCTGCAAATGCAGAGGCAAATAAATAAATAAAATAAAAAAACAAGCAAATAAGCAAGAACCACAAAAAAAAACTCTGTATATCTGAAGCAGCAGGATATAAACTACAACACTCAAAGTAGTTAGAGCTTCAGGGTGTGGAAAAGAAAAATTCAGGAACTGGGTTACATACATGAGGTGATCTATATTAGGATTGACGAAACGCATTTCAATGGGAAAACGAAACCGGTATGGATCTCGTTTAGCCTGCAAAAAGAACAGATAGGAATAGGCTAAGCAGATGTCATAATAAGTAATTTCACAAGAAGCTCTCTTATCAGACCATGGTTTCAAATGTCGCTAATGTCGCCCGACATATGTCGATGTCGAGGCTCACTAACATGAAAATGGATGGTAATATAAAAATTACATTATTTTGGGATCCAAATAACAAAAAAAAAGACAGTTTTTTCTATTATGTCGACAGGATGTCGACTAATGTACATTAATAATATAATATATTAGTATATTATATTAATATAAATTATTCCATTAATAATTTCTATTTAATATTTCAAATAAA